TCCTACTGGACATAAGCTCCTTGAGGGCAGGGACGCTGTCAGCTCTCTCCAGTGCTAAGGACACAGAACCTGACACACAGTCAGGGCTGAGTAAATGTCTGCTGGCTGCAAAAATGAATGACACTCCCAGAATAGGGGCAGGCCACAGAAACAGGCAGGCCTCTAAATAGCATGCAGTCAAGTCCCAAACAGGGGCAAGCAGTTCTGGGTGTGCTCACTTGTAATCCACCAGTCCTGAAGCCAAGCAGTGGGAAATCCCACCTAATGGGAAACCTTATACCAGCAAGTCCCAGAACCAATGGGAGTCACCGCCTGGGTCTGTGGTCTGTGCACAGCCATCCCAGAGCTAGGAATCACCACTTAAATGAGAACAAGGAATGGCAAGGAGATGCTCTGGGGCCAATCCCCACAAGGGATGGAGCAGCAAAGGGTGGGGAGGAAGACGTCAGAGTGATCCTAGGACACAGAGGGGCTTGGGTTCCTGCCCTGCTCACTGCCACAATCCTACACCCCATATTCTCCTTGGAGAAGGAGCAGCTCTGCAAAGCCTCCGAGATGGTCCTGCTTCCCACCTGACCTCCTTTCCCAAACCCGCCTCTGAGAATGCAGGGCGTGGCCGGATCAATCTCATTAGTTAATGAGTTAGGTTATTGTTTGTTAATTTAAACTTATTGTTATAATCAGGTATATCTCATAAACACTTGATTAGTTAACGCATTCAAATCGAAATAAAAACTCAATTAAACTGAACATTCACTACTACCACTTAGGGTCTTAAAAAAGGAAGAGACAGAGAGAGAGAGAGAGAGAAAGAGAGAGAGAGAGAGAGAGAGAGAGAGAAAGAATTGTCTCCAAGAAGGGCCTCCTACAGGGCAAACTTCTAATTAAACAAATTGTCAATTTCAACACAATGAAAACTGATTTAGGAGTGTAAATTTAGTATTCCAGTCACTGAAAATAAAACCTCACATTGTCGGCCTCATACAGGCTGATTTCCTTGGATGGGGAAATGCAGAGGACAGGAAGACAACGTGAGAAAGTGGGAAGAGCCCAGAAGGAAGAACAAGCGAGAGCATTTTATCCTTTCATAAATAACCTCTCCGCAGATTCAATGTGGCCTGTTCTCCAAGCATCGAGAAACTCTTGTCTTGCCTCCTCCTTCACCCCACCCCTACCAGATTAGAAAAAAAAAAAAAATTAATCGTGTATGATGACAAACTTGGCTCAGCACTCACTGTACACACTGTACCCACAAGGCTGGCGCCCAGCCAGGCCTGGCCCAGTGCCAGAACTACAATAACAAACACAGGCCATGCTAGCCAAGAGGGGGTGGGGGCAGCCAGCGCGCCGAGCAAGGAAGTGAGTGAGGAGCACCGTTCAGCTCCACCGAGCAGAAGAAAACAGCAGGAATGTGCCTGTCCTAGGCAGCGACAACATTTAGGGGAAGCCAGGGGCACCATGACCTGCACCCAGGTCCCAGAGTCACTTCTCCATGGCCTGCTCCTTTAAAAAAAAAAAAAAAAGAAGAAGAAAGAAAGAAAGAAAAAAAAAAGGTGCCCACAGTTCCGGAGGACCGATTGTTCTTCGAGGCTCTGCACTGCTGCTCCAACCCTCGGGTGACTGTCTGTAAAGTGGGTCGGCACCCTGGGCCATTCTTGCTGTGGGCTCCCAGCAGGGAGCCTTCCAGATCCAGCAGCCTGGCAATCCGTGGCATCTCACCTACAGCTCCTCTGAAACATCGCACAGTTCTGTTATTGTGGGGCTGGGAGAGAAGTCAGATGGTGTAGAACCAATCCTGCTTCTGCCACGGGCATCAGAGAGAAGACCTAGACCGGGCACGGCCAGCCCTGAATCCCGACGCCCCCCTGGGGGCCTTCACCGCTTCTCAGGGGGTGTGAACGGCTCAGGAAGTGGTCTAGCCGCTCTAAGCCCTTGTTGCTATTTTCTGATCAAGACATCCCGGCACAAGGGTGAGAAGCAGGCGGGATGAGAGAGAGACCCAGCAGAGAAGAGAAACAGCAGAGTCTTAAGAAGCCTATGAGTGATCTGCAAAGGCAGATTAAAGCACTATAATGACCCTCACACCTGCCCCATCACCAAATCCTCCTTTCCAAGGGCACTGGCAAGTGCATTTCGGAAAGACAAGTCACTCGGCACAGCCAGACTGCAGTGTTGAGGAGGACAGGTATGGAAAAGAAAGCCCAGGGAGACGGCACCCAGCTGCCCAAGCTGGCACAGTACTCGAGGGACCCCCAAGTGGCATCTCGGCCAGGACGGGAGCACGTGGCCTCGGGTGGTGGCTGGTTCCAGAGCCATCTTGTCTCAACTGGGGAGCTCTGGGCCCACGGCAAGTGTGTAGGCAGTGCCCCCCTCTCTGCCGCTCCCATGTGGCACCACCAACGCGGCAGGAACTGGCTCACATGCTCAGCCACTACTGGCCGGGCGGGCTCCTGGCTGCCCCCCAGTGAGCCCCTGGGGTACAGTCTCAACTGTTCCTGTTGCAGGAGGAACCTGGTGGGAGACTGGAGTTCTCCTGGCTCGTTCCTAGTCCTCCTGGCTGCATTCATCCATCCAACCAGTATCTACCAACTACAACAACAAGTCAGGCAATGTGCTATGTATAATGGGGACAGACCCCACCTCCCGTAGTTGACAGCCCACCAGAGGAATAAAAGGGGAGGGAAATTGTATTTACTGAGAGCAGATCACAGGTCAGGCCTAGTGCTAAGTGTCTGATGGGAGCCTCACAGCATTTCTGAGGGTCGAATGCTCCCAACTTACAGATGAGGATACTGAAAAGCTTACATTTCTTGACCAGCATCTTGGTCAGGAGGTAGGTTTCCAAATTTCTCTCCCAGCCTCCCAAGTAGGGGGATAAGGCAAGTCCATAAATAACCAGAGGACAAAGAGGAAAGACTGTGCCCGGAGAGCTTCAGATAAAGACATACAAACGCCCTAGAAGAAGGCACGACTGATCCTGGCTGAAGATGGGGACATGTGGAGGATGGCATTGCATAAGGGATCTTAGTAGATCTGACAAGACTCAGGAAGGGTTATTCCAAGCTGAGGGAATGGGATGAACAAAGCCACAGAGCTCAGGAAGCAAGCTATGTCAGTCTGCATACAGCACAGACCAACAAGTAGATGGGTCTGGCTAGAGTGCTGGACTCAAGGAACGGTAAGGAGAAAGGATGCTCACTGGGCCAAGTTCCGAAGTGGGCAAGGAAGCTTTAACCACAGGCTGCAAAGTGCATTACCCGCATGGAAGTGTCCAGCACCACACAGTGAGAGACCACACAGGGGCCCGCAGCAGGAAGTGCCTAAAACCAAGACCCACACTCTGCACTTGGGGGGTGGCCAAGCTGGCTGGCAGATAGCTTCAAAACTCCACAATGAACCCCAAATGACCTATAAGACTAGAGGGAAGCAAAAAAGATACAAGGTGAGTTTTTTTAAAAAAACTGAACAAAGGAAGCAGATGTCGGACACGGGGGCGTCTGGACTCAGAGGGCTCTGGATTCAAAATAACTGAACCAGTGTGGGAGAGGTGGGCAGGATGAGGACAGTTCAGGGGAGCCAGGTGGGTGTGGGTGACCCTGCAAGGAGGAGGAACGGAACACACATCGATGTGGGGACAGAGTACACAAGCTGGGACAGCCAGCCACCTGGCGTGACACAATCCCTGGCCCTGGACTGGAGGACAGAAAGCACAAAGGATTAGGGAACTTAAGGAGGAGCCATGGAGGCCCAGGAGAGGGCATTCCATGCCATGCACAGCCACGCAGGCTCTGGCTCTGCAGAAAGACTGTGGCAGGCCGAAGCCTATAAAGCACCAAATAGCCTTTACACGACTGACTGGGAAATGGGAGGGCAGAGCACAAACAGCCAGCAGATAGAAGCTTCTGTGGCAAAGTGATGGGCACGTGCCCCAGGGTCACAGATCCAGAATCAGGGAAATGGAAAGCAAAGCAGAAGCAGTTAACGTTTACTAAACACCACCTGTATGCCAGGGCGGGTACTATAGATGCCCATCACATACATCATGTCACCGATTCTTAAAAAAAAAAAAAAAAACCTGATATGAGCTCGGCAACACCTGTACCTCATGGATGCAGAAAATGGGGTTCAGAAAACAGATCCACCCCAGGTCACAGAGCACATACTACAGACGAGGACTGAACACCTGCCAAACCCCAAAGCTCATGCTCAGTTCACAAATGCTGGAGGGCTACGTGCTAAAGGTAATGTGGGATGAGGAGTAGACATCAACACTTGACCAGAAGAAGAAGGCCTTTGCCACTTCCCCAAAATGGGTCTCCAAGGTTGAAAGGAAGGGCATCAGAAGGAGAAGAGGGATTGCCCTGGAAGGGAAGTCTACAGGCCTCTACAACTGCACCCAGGCGACCCCCTGGCCTCAAAGCAGCACCATCAGACCTGGCAATCCTTCCCTCCACCAAGAATGCCCAGGGGTGCTGGCAGTTAGGGGCTTCTCCATTTCCCGTGTCTCACCGGGCAGAACAGCTTTGTGCCAACACAGGCAAAAGTTCCCATAGCCACACAGCTGACCCCACTAGAAACGGATAAAACTAACTTGCAAAAGACAGCACACTGGAACTCAGTCTGTGTTCTAGACTTTCTGTATCTATTGAATTAAGGACTTCTGTAGAATGTAAACCCAAGAGTCAGATTCCTTAGGCCAGGTGAACCAAATGCCACCACCACGGCCATGCTGACAAAACCGTTGTCTACTTTGGAAGGTCTATCACTCAAGTGCCCACAATGCCTCGGGAAACCCAAGAGTATGAGGATGGGTTTGTGTGGACAGTCAGTCATACCATCAGGACAGTCTGTGCTCCATGAACCTGTAGGGAGCATCCACAGGGCATAGTGGCCTAAAGGCACCGGCTGGCAGCGGGGACACCCCTGCTCTGAGCGGGGGGAAGGTGGGCAGGAGGCAGTTGCTTGCACTCCAGCAGGCCAGTCAGGGCAGCATCACCTACCTGAATGAGCCAGTAAGTGCATCCTCAGTCGCAAACTATCCAGGAACCGCTTCCCGCAGAGCTCACACCCATACGTCTTCATGCCACTGTGCAGCTTCCTGTAGGGAAAGAGAAGATAGGCTGTGGCTGCTCTGGCTGGATGCAAGGCAAGCCCGCTTGTACCTGGGGGTCCTGCGGCCACCCTTGCAGTAGGTGAGCAGGAGGGAGAGAGACGGATGGCATGGCTGCTGCAGGTGGGCATGGATGAGCCATCCCTACATGCTCACATGGCCCAAAGTCCGCCTCTCCACCCATGGCCTGCTGCCAAGGAAGAGTCTTCTCCGGAGCTTGTCTAAGAGCTAAAGAACGGGACACTTCCTACTGCGTTACTCACTGGCACAGAGACCAGGGGAAAAAGATCAGATCCAATTTCAAGGCAAGAAGGAAGTAGCAGCATGGACGGCACGGTCAGTCGGACATAGCGCTCACTGTTGAACTGGCACTGATCTCACATGGGGGCCGCCAGGCCTCTGCCTACCTTGGCCATGTCATGACTCACTGAGCTGCAGCTGAGCAGGTGTCCAGTTCCCCCAGGACGCCGTCAGATTCAGGAGGGCTATACCTGCACCCTCCCTCTCTCCTAGCCCCGGCTCCTGCTGCGTGACTGGCACCACAGTAAGTTCTGAAGAAGCTCAGTAATGACTCACTGGCTCTATGGACATAAGTGCTTCTCTCTCAGGGCCTCCAGATGTTCTCAGGGATTCACTGTGCTGAGTGCCTAACATACATGCCCTTCCCTGAAGTCCTAGCTTCATTCTTCCCCCTGTTTTTGGCCAGGGGTGGAGCCCCGGCAAAAGAAAGATTTCCAGAAACCATGTAGCATCACTCTATAAATGTCATTCTGGGCTTTGCAAGTACTTCCACACACCTGATCTCAGTTTACCAACACTGCAATTCTGTGAGTTGGGCCTGACACGTAGGATCACATAGGAAGACAGAGGTTCCAGGAACAAGTGCCACAGGCCCTTTCCTGCCAGGCCCCTGCCTTGCTCTGGTAGAGGACAGCAGTGGAACTGGAGAAGATCAGGGAAGCAGGCGGGCCAGCGGAGAGCCAAGGGCTGGGAAGAAGGTCTGTGCACCGCAGGCCGCTGGGGCTCTGAGCTGCTGGCTGGCATGTGGGCCATCTGGCCTGGAACGCTGACTTTCTTCCCACCCACACTCTCTCAGGCCCTTACTTGCCACTGCCAGATCCAAGATCCACCTCCACCCCCATTTCCGTGCCTTGCCCTTAGGAACAGGGCAAGGCAACGGCAGCCAGAAGCAGGAGCTGATAGTGGGAGGGCAGGGAGTAGAGCCTACGAGGTCCCCTTAGAGCAACAACCTATTGCCACCAGGTAGTGATGGGCCAAGACCACAGTGAAGGGTTCGAGGGCGGCTGGTCCTGATACTGAGAAGATCCTGAGCATGGAGGGGAAATACTATACACTCCAGCCAGCAACACCGAGATCTGAGCCTGGGAGCCCAGGCCATAATAACTGAACCAAGGCACCCACTGCCACCACCTTCCAAATCCCTTAAGGAGAAGTCAGTGGTAAGTCAAATCAATGCAGGCCCCCAGGTGGGCCTCGCGAGCACCATGGTCTATGGGCCACGATGCTTGAAGACAGCATGCCGCGGCCACACGCCCAGTCCCCTTCACAGAACTCTTTCTCAATCACACAATGTTTTGTTTGCTCGCTTTCCCTTTACCTCCTTGCCAAAGGCAACAAATAATTTCTCAATCACACACACACACACACACACACACACACATACACACCCTCATCCCTGACACTGTAATGGACCCCACCCCCCTATTATCTTACTCCTGGCCCTGGCTGATCCAACCCAATTGAGAAATAGCAACAGTACAGAACATTTTAACTGAACATTCTTCACTCCAAATATATTTCACAATGCTGGACACTGGGACATGTCCTAATAGCATTCTGGGCCAACCATGTTTTTAAACATGCACCCCAGCAACTGAGAGTGTATGTGTGCATGTACACACATGAGAGACAGTCTTCCTGTCACTTACCCAGGATGGCAGATGTTTGCTCTTCTCATAGATGTTCTGTGGAGCAGCAAAAGCTCAACTCACAAATGGTTCAGCAGGGGACCCTCTTGCACACACTCATGGTCAGGTGTGGTAGATGGCAGTGGATGGGTTTCCCCCTCATTCGTGGTCATCTTTTCTACACTAGGGATTTCTTAGCTTTCAGGAGTGCCCACCTCTCAGGCGGTGGCTTACAGGAGGATCAATACCCACTCAGATTTATTTTCCAAAAGGACACGGTAGTGACCAGTCTTCTGGCATCAGCAGCCACCACTAAGATAAGCATCCCCAACCCTATCCTTGAATTCCCATCTCTTCTCCCTGAGGGTTCCAGACCAAATCTTTCACCTTGATGAACACTTTCTGGGTAACCCCACTGTCTTTTTTCTGGATGTGAATGGATTTGCCTGGCAATTGGGGAGAGCAGCTCCTTGGCCCACTAGATCAGCATGGTATGAAAGGCGATGAGAACCTTTACAGAGGTAGCAGGGTACAGGGAAGAATGCCAGGCAAGCAACCAGAACCTTTACTACAGAGGTAGCAGGGTACAGGGAAGAATGCCAGGCAAGCAACCAGAAGACCCAGATCCTCAGCCTGACATGGCCATTAACTTATTTTATGACCTGGGACAAATCATGCTATAACAACCTCTCTGCATTTTTTCACCTGTAAAATGATGTGGGTGATGTCTAAGATCCCTTATGGAACCGTATTTTATCCTTTTACCGAGCTTCCAAGGTACTCCCCTATAGGGCACTATTACTCTCTCTGAGCCACGTCCCACTGTGGGATGTCCCATGATGTTTAGGCAGTCAGGCTAGGACAAGCCAAGCAAAAATGGACACCCAACCCCAGAAATCTGGTCATTTTAAAAACTTCTAATCCAGATGACCTGAGTTTCCTCCTTTATTCACTTGTGGTCTTTCAATGAAAGAAACTTCTGGAACCCATCGCAGGCTTTCTTTGGTACCATTCTGCTGCCACACATTTCCTAGCCTTCAGAGACACGGATGCCCTATCCTGTCCAATCCTTGGTGTAAGGATACTGCTCTGCACCTGACCCACTAACTCAGTGCCCCACACAGATTACCAGAGGTGGGTGTGACATCCATGTGATCCACACGCAGTACAAGGACAAAGGTCCTACCCTGTTGGCAGGGAGACAAGAGCAAAGCACATGAAGTTCAGGAGAGAAAAAGCACTTCCCAAGCCTAGGAGTTGAGTAGAGCCCAGCACTGGTTTGCTCCTGTCCTCCATTATTGTTCAGAACACCAAGAGACGGATGTAGAAAGGTAGACACTTCTAACTTGCAGAAAAAGGAAGTGGTGAAGAATCTGAGTGTGTTCAAGAGACTTGGCTACTGGCAGACTGTCTACGGCACAGCCTGCAGAATGACCATCAAGGAAACAGAATTCCAACTGGTTTCTGAGCAGAAGTGCAAAGTTGTATGAACTCCTGGTCTCTCCCCTCTGGAGACCACAGCCCCACCACCACCACCACTCTCATGACCTCATGCCACTGATTTTGATTAAAATGCAAGTTCTGTTCACCTCCATCCTCCTCACATGCATCATTTCCCAGTCTGGTCTTGTCTTTTCGCGAGGTCTAACTGCTCATGGCCATCTGAGGTCACCAGCCTCCACAGCAGCACAGGAAAGGAGGGCATCTGGGGACATCTTTGCACCTTTCTGCATACTCTCTTGGTTTTCACACTCCCCTCCTCTGAGAAGCAGCAACATTGCTGAACAGCATCTTGAAAGTAACCCAGTTCCAGCATGGCCCAAGCACCTCCACTCTATGCTTGCTGGAGGGCCCATCAGGTCCCCGCCATGCACTCCCGGGGAGCGGGCTAAGGCTCTCCACCACAACCCAACCCCTAACCCCCTATAGCGTTGCTGTCCCAGCACAGCCCACCATCAGTCCACTGGCTAAACCCACCAGAATCATAACCGATTTTCAATCATATCCAAAAAGACAAAGGAAAAAATGGACCTTTAGCAGGTTTCTAGCTCAAGAGAGCTAAATCATTATGAGAAATTAGAGCTAAGCAAATCTGAACCCTTTAACAAGTAACTAGAGAGACTCATTCCTTCTCACTGATTCTCAACCACACAACCCTCGCTAGTCAAACCAAGCTGTCTCTGTACCACTGGAAGTAGGACAATTCTTAGATTCCATCCGCTCTGGACTATAAACTATATCAAGGCAGAAGTCCTGTTGAATTCTCCTTTTCTTCATAGGGTCTAGTTTCAGAAGGGATTGCTCAATGCTGCTAAACCAGTTCCTCCATCTCATGTGGGGGTCAAGACATCCCTCTTCCCATCTTCAATGGTATTCTAAGCACAAGAGCTCCAACACAGAGCTGGACTCTGTCCTATGGCTCCTGTAGTCCTCACGAGGAAAGCCAATGGCTCCTCTTTCATAGCCACATAAAGCCTGAGCTTCAGACCAGCCCTTCATTCTCAAGAAGAGCCTTCATCTCCCCAGCCTGCCTCGGAACACAACAGCAGGAGGAGTGGCAGCCAGGAGCAACTCATGCCTTACTCTGTCCTCCTCACGCTCAGCCTCCAGACAGAGCCGACCATAACAGGGCTCCCTAAGACTGCCTTTTGAATCTACTCTCCGCCGGAAAAGCTCAGCCTGTCTCCATCCCACAGAGCTGAGGGCCAAAGGGAGAATGCCAGGAGAAGAGCCAGCAGCAGGGCTTGCCTGACAGAGGGGTTCCTGGCCCCAAACTACCAACGTTCCATTTCTGCTCAAGTTCCTCTAGCCAGAGACAAGAGCAGTCAAAGCAGACCAATGGGCAAGAAGGTTTAGAGAGGGAATTCGGTCCCAATAACCCACTGGCTACAATCCCTCCCTCCCTCCATCCCTCTGCTCCTGGGGATCTGAAAGTGTCTGTGAGTTTTGCTGGACAGGTCAACACGGAGCACTGGAGTTTGTCAATGGGGCAAGCAAGTGAGAGGGAACTACCCATCTTTGAAAAATAAGGTAGGGAAACCCTATAAGGGTTTTTATAAG